TATCTGTGATTCAGTCAGTGAGTCATAGAAACGACTAAAAACTCGGATGAAACTGGTGACTGACTGCATACCTGGCCAGCCTCCAGTTTCGCAGTAGCGGATGAGACAATTCACCAAAAACTCAATGAGGCAGATGAGGAGAAGCTGCGCACCAAGCTATCAAGAACGTGATCTATGAAGAGGAGGATGCCCTCTACAAAAATGGGAAAGCTGAAAATATGGATTGTCATGAACTGCGAAGCTTCTCCTCGAGGTTGCTCAAAGCAGAGAAGCACAGAGAAATTCAACACTACATGCACAGAAGGCTTCAAGCTTGACCATGATAAAATAGTTATGAACCACGTTAAATGTCTTAACCCCTGAAAAGCTCAAGGACTGGGAGATTTATTAGGAGCCTCTCTATCTATCTACTAGTAATTTAAGCATTCTTTTGGACAAAAATGTTTGAGAATTTTCCTGGACGTCGTAGCACTCTTCCCTATCCTGACCTTGAAAATATGGAAGGGTGGGGGGGAAATGTGTTTTCTACTAACAATACTATCAATAATTTTCTGCTTTTAACTTTTTCCTTCACAAAACAAATAACACAATGTGCATCCTGCATTCTTCTTCTTCTGTGTAACAGCTGGATAAAGTGAAAATAAAACGGAACAGATGTTTTCAAGGTCATGTGATGCTGGATCGTATCCCAGTGTAACCTGGGTAAGACCTGGGACAGGTTTGACAGCCTCACAGGGGAAACAGAATGACAAGCACTTTCACACCTGCAGGCAATTTAGACTTTCCGATTCACCTTGCTAGTCTTTGGACTGTGGGAGGAAACTAGAGCACCTGAATGAAGCCATTCGAACACAAGGACAACACGCAACCTGAACATCATACCCTCTAAAATTACAACGTTCAACATTAAACTAACACATCGTTTGTTCAGATAAATTGGGTGCGACCCACACAGCCCAATCCTGCAATATTCTGCAGAAGTAATTTGCAGTGCTGCCTCTGTCGCACAGTTTTTGTGATTTTTCCACATCATTTGAAGTTAAATGTTTAGTTGATGGGGACTCACGATGCCCGATTATTTACCTGATTAACTTCTGGTCACCTGTCTTGCACTTTTAGCAACACTGCTCACCAAAATTCCAGTCTGATTTTCCACATGGCTGCCATGAAAAGATCCATTATAAATTACAGCAAGCATGTTTTTAAAATAAGTATTTTATATAGTGTGACTAAAACTGCAAGTTTTCATTGATTTACCTTATATATCGCTGGTTTACCTGTGCTCTCTGGATGTATACGTTTTGTCCAATTTATACATGTTCTATAAGCCAGTGACCTGAAATATTTGCTGTAAGCCTTACCCACAATTTTTCCATCCATATTGTAGATTCCAAAATTCAGTCTAAGCTCTCAGCTAAGATGCTTTTTCTATTTTACTGAACAGAGGAGAAGAGACAGTCCTCCCCTGGAAAACAGCTGTTAAATGAGAGAGTCGCTACCTTTAGGCACCCTTATAACCTACAAAATGAAACTTTGAAATATGTGTTTAATGTTTTAAAAGGCTCTATTTTAAAGCAAATTCTGAAAATTAGATAACAGTCTTACTCCAGCGTCCCTGTCTCAAGCCAGGAATGGTGATGACTTGTGCTATGACGGCTGAAACAACAGATTGATCACAATCGTTTATCCGGAGGACGTGTTGGAAGAGACCCAGTGCACTGAAAAAGATGCAAGCAGACTATAAGAAGCAGCCTGTTGGAGATACACACACCTCGTTTGTTCAAATAAAGAGCGACAAAGTCTAACGCAAATATGGTTTATCAAACACTATTCACCTGTGGATATTTAAGCTGTTATAATTCCTCCTGCAAAACACGTTGTGCCCTTGGCTCCACTCAAAAACCCAGTGCTGAAGAGTTTATTGAAATAATCTAATGCAGGTAAACCATTGAAAGTTATTTAATGCTACACTACAATTCACCGTGAAGCAAACATTCAAATATATCTCAATTTATTGCAGTTTCTTCTTAATAGAGTCCTTGAAGCTTGCTAATTAACCGCTACAGTTAAATTGTTCAACTCTAATGAAGGCAGCCTTGGTATTGAAATGCTAAATGTGACAGACAACAACCACATGAATTAGCAGCGTGGACTGAGCACTACTTTTGATTTTGTCTGTTTTTTTGTGTTGATTGAAAAGCTGAAATGATGTTGCAGCTTCGTTTGTGAACCGTGATAATTGGACAAATGATAAATGAATGGCACCATCCATCAACTAGGCTTCAGCAAATAAGTACCAAAGCATCTGCCTGAGCTGGACAGAAAAACTAGATATCAAGGCATGTCGACATCAAGCTCGGACAATGTGTGTAACAAACCGTACAAACTGACTGAATTTCTTTAGATGTAATGCTTCATCAGTTATTATATGTCAGAGTTTTCAAGCAAGCACAACAAACAAATATCTACATTTTTGAGCACTACTAAAAATATAATGTCATGGACGACAAATATAATGTGATAACTGTGTAAATTCTCAAAGCAGGTTCCCATACAAACTGAGTTACACAGGTCCCTAAACGGTTCTTCTTTCTTTGTATGGCAGTCAATAATACAAAATGTGTTATTCAGCCTGTAAGACAAGGTTGCTTAGGCCTGTGATGTGTGATACTAAATGTCTTCTTGTTTCCAGGGAATCTGATTAAAGCCCTTATGACTAAACTGTAAGTGTTAATAGATTAAGCAAAGATGTTTAATTAGGACAAGGCTTCATTTTGAAATAGATTACTGCTTTAAATAGATTTATTTTAAAAAGTAGACCAGCTGGAAAATGTACACGTTTTCTTACTGACCACCTGGCCTCCACTTACACACATGGAGAAAGAGAGAAAGAAGGGGAGAGGGTGTGGCAAGTAACACACACACACACACAAACACATTAGACTGTGAGTAGGCGAGATGAGATTCTGCATAAGGGGGAAATTTGTTGAAGCAGAAAGTTCACCATGCAACTGTGAAGACGATAGTGCCAAATCCTGCTGAAAATGACTTAATACAATAATAGGTTTTGGAGTATAACTAATACTATTAATTAAAAGCAGACAAAAATACACAAAAAAGCACTTTAATCACTTTTTATTACTGTGTGACTTTTGGATCTTTGGTACCCCAAGATACTCCCCATCTTATACTGTAACTATACTGCATTATGGATGATAAGCTTATTTACTTTCCTGGCAAGAGGTAGAAAACTGTGTGCTGTGAGGCTTATAGCTTAGCATAATGAATACAAACTGGGGGGAAACTGTTCAGAAATCCCTCTAGTCACCCCACAAAGCAAAAATATTCTGCTGTTGTTGTAGACAAGATGTATCATACCAGTTACTTTTTGGATAAGCTGGGGAAACAGTTTCCCCCGTTTCCAGGCTTACTGCTAAACTCGGCTAACCACCAGTTGGCTCTGGCATCCTAACTAGTGTTTATGTGCAGAGGAGAGAGGATCCTTATCAGAACTATGAGCAAAAAAGCCAATAGGTGTAACTGCCCTAAAGTCAAAGCAGAGCAATACTGAGGTAATGTATTCAAATAGGAACTTTCCACAGCTATGCTGATGACACAGAATTATGCACACCCGTGCAGCCAAATGATACAATAAGTCTGATGAGTAATAACTTTGTGAGACTCATGAAAGACAAGCAAGGTAAAAATACTTCTGCTTTGCCTCAGGGCCACAAGAGATGTACTGTCCAAAAATCTTAGCTCTCTGCTTCCACAGTTCAAGCCTAAGCAAAAGACATTAGTGAGAGTGTGTTGGACTTTGATCATAGCATTATATTACACCATAAAATTGTAATTCTCTCAGCTGAGTAATATTGCCATATCAAAAACCCAGTTTGTGCTTAATTCTCAGTAGACTAGACAAGCCTACTGTGTATTTCAGTGGTCTTGCTGAGAATTTGATTTGTCAATTATAAATCATTCAAATCCGGGTTCTTGTGATATTGACCAGAACAAGAAGAAGAGAACACTGAGTGATTCTGGTTTTAGCTGAACTCGGTATAGCTCCATATATATTTTACAGATATTAAATAACTTGTTTGTCTATAAAGCACGACAGTGTTTCACCAGCTTCCATCCTCAAGGCTCCCTGTTGTTTTAAGTGTCTTTACATTTACTCACATCCTCCATGTAGGTTGTTTGAAGTTCAGAACCACAATCAGACCCAAGAAAATTGGATCTGTCCAAACTGTAGAAAGTATGTCCCTCTGGATATCAGGGAATAACCCCCACTGAGCATTCTGTTATCTTTCAACCTGTAAATCCATTTGTCTCCAAGTCCTTATTTTAGCATGTCATTGTATTATGATGTTATTTCATGCTTCATTTATCCTTAATTTGTCTTTTAGTCTAAAGGACTCCAGGTTTAGGTTCTTTGCATGATTGTAATTATATTGATTCTTAATTATTACGCTATTATAACTTTCGTCCTATACTTTATCTGAGCCATTCTTATATAATGGGTGGTAGGAGAATTATAGTTTAATTGATTTAAGCTTGCAAATAATATGTATGCAGAGAACTTACAAATGAGTGACTGACCAAAACGGGGAAAAGCAAAATGAGCTTCTGTGAGTGACTAAATGGGAGAAACACGCACAAAAGAGCAAATGGGGCATAATCCCCTTAACATTATTTTCTTTTTCTTTACCATATCTGCCAAGTCAGCCGATCAATAAACAACAGCATAAATAGGGTGTGCGTGCCCGTGTATGTGCGCGTGCGCGAGACAGACAGAAAAAGAGAGAGGGAGAGCAAGGGAGAGGTTGAAAGGCAGAGACTGATTCCTTTAAAGTCTGCAAGCTCTCAGTTTTAATCTTTCATCGCGTTTTTCAGACGCATCTGAATGAGTCTTACTGCCACGTAAGACCTGTGGATGAATGATGACCACACTGCGTCAAAAAGAGGTCCGTGCGTACATCTGGAGCACATTAACTACTTACGCTACTGTTTTGTCCGGACCAGTGCACCATCGCCTGGTTATGAGCCGTGTCCTCGGTGAGCGCAAATGTCGAACTTGTGAGGTGAAACTCCTCCTGGTCCGAAACCGAGGCATCCTCCCCGCCCTCGGGTCTGAATCCGGACCAAGTCTCTGTGCTCCTCGCACTACGTCTCCAACTGGTCACATTCCTGTCCTCGTTTTCCGTCACATCACCAATTTTATTTCCCCCATCGTCTGTGTTATTCTCGGTTACATTGCTGAGAAAGGGGGAGGACACGCTTGAAGACACTTCAGATTGGGAAAGTTTCTGGTTACTGCTTGGGGCGCCTTTATGCAGAGAACTTGAGATATTTCCCCCAAACCGTGGCTGTACTTTGGACGAACTTTCTTCGCTCGCGGTCAGTTCTGCATCGTAGTGCCTTTCGTTTCGGGGGGTGACCGACCCCTCGGTAAATCTAAGAAACTCTTCAGCTGTTGCCTCTCCAAAATTTGTCAAATCCAGCGCCGAGAGTTCCCGGGGAAATGCTGCGGAAATGAGCGGCAGCTGGCAAGACGGAATGCACCTTACCTCCGCTTTTGTTCCGCCCAGGATGGAAGTTAGGGTAAAGATCCAAATCCACTCAGAGAAAATGATAAAAAGGCAGTGACCGAGGCGCGTCTCCATTCTACGTTGATTCCTACTTAAAAACATATCATTTTTTTTAGTCTTGAGCGAGTGTCTGTCATCACCTGGTAAAGTGGTTGAATGTACTGTGAGGAGGTGCAGCAGCGCGCGGACAAGTGCTCCCAAGTACTGATGCAAACGATGCATCAGAGGAGGAGCTGGAGGCTGAATCCTGCACAAGAGGGGAGCGGGGCCGATACCCCGCATCATCATCTCAACCTGGATTAAAACAAAAAAAAAAGAAGAAGAAGAAGGAAGGAACAACAAAATAATAAAAACAAGCATGGGGGTTGGGTGTAACTTAAGTTTATTCCTGATCAACAGTGTGACAGATAGTATGTCATTATAAAACATTTGATTTAATAATCATCTTATATCTTGGTAATTATGCACAGAATCAAAACAGCCTGAAAGGTGATGTATGGGGTCCCTGGGGGGGAAGTCTGGAAACATTAGTGGGTCTGCCACTGGCAGTCTTTGTGAGGAAATGTTACTGACAGGAGCTTTATGGAAGATACAATGAGGCTTTGCATTTTCCATTAGCAGGTCTGAGTAATCAATTAACAAGATTGCCTGTGTTCACTGTCAATTATGTCATGCAGGTAAAGTCCCGGCTGTGGCCTGCCTGCAAAATGGGCTGGAAATAGTTTCACTTAGGCTTTGCTCCTGTATTATCCATTCAATACACCCGAATGGAGAAAATGCATATTCCCCAAATTTTACCTGCTGTTTTCTGTGGCCCTTTCTTGGGGTTAATGGAGGCTTGAATAACAGAAAATAATGAGAAGAATTCAAAGCAGAGGTGAGTGAGTAATCAGTCTTGCTACATCTCTGATCTCTGCTGTTGAGTATAAGTACAGAAGAGTGCGCAGGTGTCACGGCAATAATAACGATCCCATTATTGCCATGCAGTGCATACAGCAAAAATATATTGTTATATTTCTCTATACTTTGGGCTTTGTTCCAGTCAGCTAATGGTGGACCATTAGGAGAACTAGAGCCTGTCCAAACTCTGTGATTAGATTCTATTTCTGGGCAACATTTAGTCAATAGGATGAGGATGCTGTTGACTGGTGAGTGATGCCGAAGAGACTCCCTATATTGAGCTGCGTTCTCCCCATCGCTCTGAGCTGCGACGTGATCCTGTTCCACATACGGGTCAACTGCACAGAGACGTCTTTCATTGCCAGCCATTAGTGATGCAGTGAGCAAGAGCTGTCTCAATCTGTTTCAGTTAGCCCCCACCAGACAAGGGGAAACCAGTCTATAATGCAGATTGATGGCTGACTGAGAATTTCAATCACAGAGAACACTGGCTAAAAACCTCAACTTTCGACTGTAATGAAAACCTCAAGCAAAGTCCAACTGTTTCAATACAGAACACCTTTTTTAAAAATGGAAAAAACTGGTCTCTTTTTTCTCTAGGTACGAGTGTGTGTGTGAGTGACACTTCCACAAGTTTACACATGTGTGTTTCTGTGCTTGTTCTGCCTTTGTCGAGTTCACAGTAATAATGCAGTGATCATAATGCCTGACCTATCTGCATAGTTCAGATGTGGATAAGCAGTTCCTGCCTTTGTTTTGCTTGTAACGTCTCTGTGATAGATGATGCTAAAAAGTCATCCTCAGCATCACCACTTTAGCAGATTTATTACGTTTACTGATTACTTTGTCATATTATTCAAAAATGTTTTAATCAGAAAATAGTGAAAAGAGGCCATGACAATATCTTAGTCTAAGGTGACATTCTGAAATTACTTGCTTGATCTCAAAAAAATCTCCCAAACCCAGGGGTCATTTGATTTTAGCTCATATAAATGAAACAAGCAGTTGTGTCACAGGGAGAAAGTCATTTTCTGTGGATAAACCAGTAGCCAACTAATCATTAAACCCTGAGCTGCAAGTCTTGTTTTCTTTACGCATTGTTGAAGCCACGGTAGGAGGCTGAAGTGTAAAAAAAAAACTTGTAGATGTCTCAGAAAAAGAAAAACTGTGGTAAGTACAAGCCAACTTTGTGTGAAAGAGAGCAAAAATAAATTGTGCATTAAAAAAACAATATCCGCGGAGGATCTTTTAGACTTGTTCGCAGACTTTAAATTTCACTGCAAGGTGACAGATTTCGGGACTGATGTCGTATAGCACATTTGTGTGCACAACATGGCAGCTGAGTGGAATCATTGTCTTTCGATAGACAAGATTGCTGCTTTGCTGCCTGTCACACTGACTGAATACAAACTGCGTATGCTCCCTGAGCTCCTGCCTTTATGATGGGAACTTGTGAGCCGGCAGTGTGAGAAGCACACAAAGGAAAGAGGTGACAGCTATCTATGTTGCTGGATTAGTCTGTGTTTTTAATTACGGTAAATAGAATTCAGCAGAAGAAGAAGAGAGCACTGTATAGGGCATCTCTGAAATTAGTCTTTTCCATGTTGACGTCTGGTTTACTTTCACAACTGTCCTTATTACTCCAGTCCTCATAATAGCTTTAAAAAGGGAGCAAAGACAGTCAGGACATTACTCATGCACAGAACATTGTCTAAAACCTTCTGCTCAAACTAAAAGGTAACATCTGCCTTCAGTGCTGCAAAGTGTTGGGTGGCAGCAACAGTATCTGTATATGGCAAAAGTCACACACGGTTGCCATAGAAAAATAACCTTTTTTTGCATACAGTAATTCAATGTACATAATGAAAATGTGATCATCTAAAAATAAAAGAGAAGGGGTGAAAAAAAGTGTAGCTGCTGTGCAGACGTGTTATGCAGCAACTCGTGCCTCGCTATAAGGTGTTGCGGTAGGAATAGCCGAGCTCAGTTCGATGACGGACACCTGAGACATCCACTTTAATTAATGCTGAACACACCTCGGGGGCACCAGGAAGAGAAAATCACCTTTTCAAATAATGATTTCAATTACAATATTGAGAGATAAGGTAAAACGCTGAAACAAACGCTGAAATGCTACAGGCTATGTACAATTGATAGCTCAAACCTTTCAGTGGATCGTTCAAATATATGATTTGATGTGTCTGCTTTGCTGTGAGTGAAGTGAAGCAGTGTGTAAAATGCTGTGAACGTGTAAGTAACAGAAACCTACCACATGCATACTTTGTGTACTGAAGTCTAGTTTCTGCTTATTTCAGGTAAGGTGGGTGCAGCTTTAATTAACTGACCTTCGGTTCTTGCATATGAGGTCTAATTTAAAACCATTAGTTATTCAGCACAAATTTAGTAATCAGTGAGCTGGATTTCCCTATTATCATACTTCTTCACCATTATGTTAATCTTCATTCTTCCTAATGTTTTGCTTAACCTTCAGTGGGCAGAATCTGCCTTATTGGAGCTCAGGACAACAACAGCAGCCTAATATTATCACAAAAGCATCATTAATCCACATCTGAAAGAGTTCATTCTTTTCACAGTTTGAGGAAATGTTAAGAAATAAAGGTTTTGAGCTACAGGGCATAGAGTTTTCCTCATTTTACTCCCGCCAGAGAGCCAGATGCATTGATGTTATTGCTTAACTACAGTGTGTTTGATCTGACCCCATTATTGGTCTCAGGAAATTTAGCTGAAAGCTACAGTTAGGACTAGGAGCAGAATAATTTAAATTACAAAAAGAATAACATCAACAATTATGTAGCTTGGACTACTTTTTCATAAGTGGTTTGGGTAGTAAAGGTATTTTTACAGTGTGAGACAAATGTACTGAGTAAATGTTTACCTGCTTTATCATTGCATTCATTTTTTGTTGGAGAATCATGCATTAATTTGAATATTTTAACATTACAGGTCCAAACTTGAAGTACTTAGAAGGACTTGAATAACCACAAAATTTAAAAAGACAACAGAGCTGCTTCCAGCTGCTCCCTTATTCACAAGGGGTCACCGCAGCAGGTAGCTCCACATGTTTTTGATTTGACAGATTTTCACATCCGAAGGGATTTATGTTTCCTCCCATAGGAAACATGGGAGAATCTTTTGCTTGTTAGACGAATGTTAGGCGAATGTGTAAACCACTACACTATGGAGGCACTAAATATTAAAAGATAATGCAAGTGCTAATTAGCATTCAGAAACTGATCGAGGAGGATAGCAACTGTGCAATATTGAAGGCGTTCATTATTGACTGCATCATTTCTTGTACAGTGAAAATGTGTTTACATTCAGGTCTGCTAGTAAAAAAAACAATGTAATCAACAACACCTAGAGTTATTTCTGGATAAGATGTGCTTTAGACACGGACTCAGTAATTTGCTTCTGTGCTGACTGTCAGTGTAGTCTTTGAAATGTAAAGAATTTTTTACCGTAAGTGATCCATAGTGCACGTTTACTATTGCAGCCATGATGACAAAGGTGTCCTCCCCAGGTTATTTTGGAACAAAACCCAGCCAAAGATCACATTATGTACAAGCCTAATATCCCGTTTCAATAGAATATGCATCCATTTTCAGAAATGAAATATCTTTTAAATTATGTTTTTGCGGACCTGCCTGTTGGAGTTAAAGGAAATGTTAGCAATGAATGAGAGTTCTCTCTGCGTGAGTGTATAGCCTTTAACAAATGTCATCTTTATGTGGTACACTTCATAAAAAGGCAGGAAAAAGAGAGTTCGTTTTATGAAAAAGTTCATTTTACGATAGCAAATTCATGCATGTTTGCAGACAATGGCCCCATGGTTTTTTTCCTTCTGTCTTTTTTTTTGTCTTTTATAAAAATGGATTCCTTGGAAAATGCTGTCTAGGTGATTCAACCCACCATTAGATTAACAAATTTGATTCCTGGGGGATGACTTTAGGTGGTCTGAGGAACCAGAAAGTGGGAATAGTAAAAAAAAAAGCTGAACCTGTAGTTGAGGGCACGCTGGCTGTAAACATTAATATCTGAGAGAAATATTGAAATGTTGGCACAGCAGGTCTGGAGTTCTCCTGATGTAGCTTGTAATTAAACTTTTAGAAGTATTTCATGTCCACTTCACTTTGTAGTGACAGATGTCCAGGCGTCCTGGTGAGCATCCCCTCCTTAAAGCGATGTGTCTTTTTCTTTTTTTGTTGCTTAATTTAGACATCATCATGGTAATTTACAACTGGACAGAAGCTCTCAAGTAAGAGAATAC